CAACAAAAAAAAAACAATTAACCATTCATTTTCTAACTGCTAAGCCAATTACAATTTCATCGCTTAATTCCAACTTAACCATATTCTCATTGCTATCATCGCTTGTATTTATCTCATGCTTATCAATTATCATCATCTGCTTATCAATCATTATCACTGCTTTAATTTTCTGCATTACCGTTGTTTCCCCTCCGAAGGAAAGGTTATCCCGTTTGACCGCCTGTCAATGCCTTCACCCTCACTCCATCCTAACCTTAGGATCCGAGTTGCCATACTCGTGCTTAGGCGTCCCGCCGTGGACACACCTTCACCTTTTCCCAGCCTTAGGTTTCGAGTCGCCGTACTCGTGCTTAGGCGTCCCGCCGTGGACATCCATCCCTTTATCCTAACCTTAGGATCATGAGTCGCCGCACTCTATGTAAGTTCCCGCCGTAGAATACTTACGTATCCTTTTCAACTCAACTTTCAACGTAGAATAGGAGTCGCCGCACTCCACGTAAGCGCTTCCATATGAACGTTTACTTCCCCCCTGAACCTTGACCACAATCAAGAAGTTCCTCTTCCTCTTTTTGTGAGGGGAACTACGATTACTCTGATTCCATCCCCTACCTCGGATGTGTAGGCACAAGATGCGAGTCTTAGCGAGTAAACTTAGGACTAACCCTTTAGGTCCTTCTCTTTACCCTTTAACCCTTAGCATTACCTTAAGCAGATAACCATTAGCAATAACACATTTTAAACAAGAGGTTCTGTAGAGTACTACAGAAGTTTAGGATGCTAATACCTTCCCTAAGCTTAACCAACCCCCGAACCCTAGATCTCTCTCCGCATTGTGTTTACGATGCAAAATAGGTTTTTCTTTTCTTTAACCTTTCCTTCGGATAAATCAAAGACCGGTTGTGAATCAAGATTGTGATTCAAATTAATCAATAATTTGATATCCTATTCTCACCGCAACAATTCTAATATGATAAATTTGAAGAAAAAATGTATAATTCCCACATTGTTAGAAAATTTTGTATGTTTGTGTGTTAAGTGAGAAAATTCCTTAAGTCTCACATCTCTTAGTTTTCATTCCTTGATTAGCTTCCTCTATATAAGGAATTAACATATTTAAATACAAAACACACAAAAGACTTGCTTTAAGTTTTTTTCTTTTTCACTCTCATAATTATGTGTCTTTTGAATTGTCGAAGAGCTAACTTTTCACCATTTTTTCTACGAGTTGAAATTTTCAAATACTTTCTTGAAATCTACTTAGAGAATTATTTTAATTTCTCCTTATTTGATTTGAGAAATTATTTAAAAAAAATTAATTTTCTTTGGAAAATTAATTGAACTTCTCTTTAATTGAAAAATTATTTTGAGAGGTCAAATCATCATTATTGAATTTTGTTTTCGGGAGAATAACCGAATTTCTCCTTAATTGAGAAATTATTTTGAGGGGTCAAATGATCATTATTGAATATTTTTTTGAGAATTAATTGAATTTCTCCTTAAGAAATTATTTTGAGGGGTCAAATGATCATTATTAAAAAAAAATTTAGAATTATTTGAATTTCTCGAAAAATTATTACGAATGAAGAGTGATATTTATACCATATTTATTTGATTTTTGAATCATCTAAATGTATGTTTTTAGATCGATTATCCACATAACAAATAACAATTATATAATATAGAATTGAGTTGTTTTATCTTAAAGACAATGTAATTGAGTAAGTGTTTTGCATATCTTTAAACCACGTCGTTTTGACCTAGTCCACAATTTGAGCAAATAATTTCTTCCATTACAAAAGTTTTTCAAAATCGTAAACCAATACCTAATGTATCAACCTCTGTTAATTTGCTTTTAATCAATAGAGAAAATTACAATATCCACCATAAATTCCAGTGAGGAACCTGAAATAAGGTGATCAACCTAACCATATAATTATTCCTAATTGAACCGGACTCCGGGAGCTCAATATTTTCAAATGAAGTGACATGGTTTAAGTATTCAATACATTTGTTTATTGTTGATGGTATGTGATTTTCTCCAACTCATATTTCAGTCTACAAATGCTCTATGCATGCTGATCATGTGTCGAGCGTTGAACCTCCTCCTGTCTATTAATGAATACACTTGTTTTACCATAAGGGTTCTTGAAGGACACCTTAGTACATTATAATCCGTAAAACTCATCGGAAAAATATAACATTACTTCATCCTCCAAATCTGAAGACAAGAAAAAGAAAAATGAAATTCCAAGTTCCCATTCATATCCTCCTTGTCTCTTTTCCAGCACAAGGACACATAAATCCTCTTCTCAGACTAGCAAAGTCTCTTGCTGCAAAGGGTATCTCTGTCATTTTCACCACAACACGGAGAGCTGGCAAAACCATGCAAACCGCTAACAACATCACAATTGGTGATTGGTGATGCCTCTCTCACTTTCCAATTCTTTGACGATGGTTTACCAGATAATGACTCTAATCTTCTTGCTCACCCCGAACAAGTTGAGCTTGTTGGGAGGAAGTTCGTTTCTCAAATGATCAACAATCATGCTGATTCAAACAAACCAATCTCATGTATCATATATAACTCTTTTTTTCCATGGGTTTCTGATGTAGCTGTTGAACATAATATTCCTTCTGCTTTATTATGGACTAATTCCAGTGCTGTTTTCACCGTTTGTTATAACTATGTCCATAAATTGGTACCTTTCCCTACGCATGAAGAACCTTATACTGACGTCGAATTGCCTTTTCTAGCTCTCAAATACAATGAAATCCCAGATTTTATACACCCTTTCTTTGCATATCCATCGCTAGGGAAACTCATTTCAGAACCACTTAATTACTTGTCTAAAGTTTTTTGTGTCTTTGTTGATACCTATGAAGAACTAGAGCATGAATTTATCGAATATATTTCGAAAAATTCAGTTCCCATTAGACCCATTGGTCCTCTTTTCAAAAATCCAGCAATAAAAGGTGCAACTAATATTCACTCTGATGATTGCGAAATTATAGAGTGGCTAAACAGAAAGCCAAGAGGTTCTGTGGTTTACGTATCTTTTGGGACTGTTGTGAACCATACTCAAGAACAGGTGAATGAAATTGCATATGGGATATTGAATTCTCAGGTACCGTTTTTGTGGGCGATAAAGCAGCATGATGATTTACCTGATGATTTCTTGGAGGAAACATGTGGGATAGGAAAAGTTGTGAAGTGGTGTTCACAAGATGAAGTGCTTGCTCATCCTTCAGTGGGATGTTTCATCACACATTGTGGTTGGAATTCATCCATGGAAGCACTTGCTTCGGGAGTTCCGGTGTTGACGTTTCCGGTATGGGGTGATCAACTTACAAATGCAAAGTTTTTGGTTGATGTTTTTGGGATAGGGATTAGATTGGGGTGTGGTGATAAGAAATTGGTGAAAAGAGATGAGGTTAAGAAGCGCTTATTGGAAGCAATGGCAGGGGGGAAATCTGAGGAGTTGAAGCAAAATGCAGGCAAGTGGAAGAAGATGGCGGAGAATGCGGTGGCCGCTGGTGGATCCTCTGACCGACATATTGATGCATTTATCGAAGACATTAAGAAACATGCATGTTGTTAAATGTTTAATTTCACTGTCCTTATTAATAGGTTCTAATAAATACGAGCATGTGTCTTCTTTTAGACGCGGTTAAGAATTATTAAATGTTGGACATGAATGTATTGATAAAGGTGAATTTTTATTTATGAATCTCAAAAAATTGGGTAGAATTATTTATAGAATAAATTAAAGGAAATTGTATTGAAAATTTACGAAATTTTAACTAGGGATGGCAACGGGGCGGGTCGGGGGCGGGTTTAACTATACCCGCACCCGCACCCGCCTCCATGTAACAGACCCGCCCCCGCCCCCAAATCCAATCGGGGGTGAAAATTTACCACCCAGACCCGCCCCCAGTAGAAAACGGGTGCACCCGCACCCGCCCCGCCCCCACCCGCAAAATATTATTATTTTTTTAATTATAATAAAAATTAGTAATTTAATTAAAAAAATTGATTATTTTAATAAATAAATTAATTATTTAATTAAAATTTTAATTAATAAATGAATATTAACTTGATTAATTTTATTATTTTAATTGCAATAAGAATATTAATAACTTAATTAAAAGTATAATTAATAAATAAATACTAAAATAAATAAAATAAAGAAATCAAAATAAAATATATTATTTGGGGCGGGGCGGGGGCGGGGGCGGGCGGGTCTTAGTGTCTACCCGCACCCGCACCCGCACCCGTAGTTAAGAACCGGGTTTCACCCGCACCCGCACCCGCACCCAATTAAATCGGATTTTCCCCGTTAATTTCGGGGCGGGCCCGGGCGGGTGTGGGCGGGCCCGGGTTTGTTTGCCATCCCTAATTTTAACTATTAAATAAATAATTAAAATATAATAAAATGATAAGATATTAGTTGATTGGGTGAAGATATATTATTTAACTTTTTAAAGTGGATAGAGAAGTTGTCCCATAGATAAATAGAATGGTTAGTGTGAGATTCTTAAAAAAATTTAAAAAATTAATTTCAATGTCTTTGTCTATGCACACTTATTCTATAGAGATATAATATAATTTAAATTGTGTGGTCAAGTTTAAGTCTAAAGTTAATTAGTGTTTAGGATTTGTTATATTTATTAATTATTTTCACAATTTTACAATAAGTGATCCATCTACCATATAAGAAAATGAATGGCTCTGAAAATTACTCAAAAGTCCTTCTGACTCCACATTAAGTCACGTGGTTGCATGAAAAACTTCCATTTGTTTCTCCTTTCACCACTTTCCATTACTTTCTCCTTTGAAAATCACTTTCTTTACCCATTATTTAAATATTATATTAAAATACTATATTTTAAATGTTACTTTAGCAATGCAGAAAAATTTGCAATTAATGTCGTTCAGAATACCACATTTTTCTTACTTTCGCGGCATACATATTCTTTCAAATCAATTGTCTCTTCTCTCCATGGAGTTTAAACATTTTCATTTTTCATTGCATCTAATCCTTCCACCATCACACTACTTTCTCCGTCGTTCTCACTCAATTTGTTGGCTTCCAAAAAGAAACTTCTCCGTTTTCAATATCTGGTTCGCTGTGGAAGATGGCCCGACCGTTAGAAAAAATAGCCGACATAAAAAAAAGGAACTGTGGAAGGTTGTTGTGAGGATACACCACAAATGGTCTATTGTTTCCAACAACAAACAGCAGATGGAGTTGATAGTGGTCGTTTCACAAGTATGTTTCAGATCGATCCATTTTATGTAGGTTTGTGTAAATGTTTTTCTTATTCCACTGATAGACTGAGTGCTTGTCATATTTATGCATTTCAACATATGTTTGTTGGGTTTTGATTTTTTTTTGCCTGTGAGTTGTTAGCCCATGTGTTTGTATCATGTTTTTATTCATTTGTTACAAAGTTGCCCTTTTATTTTTTTGCATCATGTTACTTGTTAAACCAAATTTAATAAATTTTGTTTACCTTCCCAGGGTGATGATATTCACGTTGTTGTTCCAACAATGCTGGTGGATATTTTCAGTGACAAACTAATTGTAGGCCACACCTACACGATATCAAACTTCAAGATTCATGCGAATGATATTGTATTCAAACCCTCAAGCCACAGGTATATGGTGAAGTTCATCGGAGGGACGTCTGTTAATGACGTGGACAAACATGAAATCCCAGCAAAATCGGCTAATTTCACAAGTTTTTCAGACATCATGACTGGCCAGTATAGAAAGGATTTGTTGTTAGGTGAGCCTTGAATTTTATATTAATATATGTGGCGAACTCTTGCAAGCGCATTAAGATCTAAGCAAGACATGTGTCTAACTGTTGCAACAAGCGGAATAACTTCTCTTTTATTGCTTGGTGGTCGAACCGCACATTCTAAGTTCAAGATTTCAGTCCCAACACTGGAAAATTTCACTTGCAAAATTGACTACGAAGATGACACTGCATAGCTTTTAAGGCAGACAAAACTCATCATTTGGGATGAGGCACCCATGGCACACAAACATGCTTTTAAAGCACTTGACAAAATGTTGAAGGATGTCATGAGTTCCTATGGCACTTCAGAAGTCGTGTTTGATGGGAAGGTAATTGTATGGTGATTTTAGACAGATTTTGTCGATTGTTCCTAGAGGTAGTCGGTCAGATATTGTCCACTCTACCATAAATGCTTCGTATATATGACACTCTATTCAAGTAATGACTTTAACAAAGAACATACGACTGCATTGTGGTCCAACTGATCACGAAAAAAAAAAAAGAAATTGTAGACTTCTCCCATTGGATTTTGCAAATAGGTGAAAGAAAAGTTTCAGAACCTAACGATGGTTTTGCCAATATAAAAATACCACTTGAACTTTTAATAACGGACTTCGACGACCCAATTGTCGCAATTGTGAATAATACATACCCTGATTTTGTTCAAAATTATCATTCAATAGATTATCTCAAGAGTCGAGCTATCCTCGCATCAACATTGGAAATTGTTGATCAAATTAATGATCATGTCCTTGGTTTGATGCCAAGTAATCATATGCTTTCATTTCTATTTCACTGAATATTATTTTTTTCATGTTTCCTTAGTGATTTTTAGTTTTTTCTTTGTTAGGTGATATAAGAGAATATTACAGCTCCAACACAGTAAATCAGTCTGAAATTTATGATGTTAATGTAGTTGACATTTTGACACCAGAGTTTCTTAGTTCGTTAAGGACTTCGGGCTTGCCCAATCATCATATTAAGTTAAAGGTTGGTACACCTGTCATGCTTATGCAGAACATTGATCAAGCTGGCGGTTTATGTAATGACACACGGCTAATCATAACAAAGTTGGAAAATCATGTTCTTTAGGCATCAACAATGGGAGGAAAATGTTGCGGAAAATTGGTTTACATTCCACGAATGGATATGTCACCTTCCCAATCACTGTGGCCATTCAAACTTAATCGCCGATAGTTTCCAATTATTGTGTCATATGCAATGATGATTATCAAATCGCAAGGACAATATTTGGATACCGTTGGGCTTTACCTCCCAAGAGATGTTTTCACTCACGGACAAATCTATGTTGCATTGTCAAGGGTCACGACCAAAAAAGGAATAAAAATTTTGATTCATGATGAGAAAGACAATCTAAAAACTACAACAATAAATGTTGTGTACAAAGAAATTTTCAACAACATTTAAAAGTCCTGTAATAACAGTGAGTTAATACTCTTTGAAATAGAAATTCTTCAACACACACATATACATTTTTTCTTCATCATTCTAATGCTCATAAATGGTTTACTACCTCACTTGTGGTGCCAAACTATTTCTTATTTTGTGTCACGACGGTACTGTGTTTAGTAATATGTCTAACAAGTTAATTGTTATTGTCTTATTACATTTTATTCTTTGGTGGGAGTTTTTCCATTAATGTAGCAGACCAATTTTTTTTTTACATCTCTCTAATTTATACTCTTTTTTGAACAACATTTATGTTATTTTGGTTTGTTGTCTTTACCTGATTCAATTATGTTGTATTAAAAACAACATTCTTAACTCGTATACCATCAAAAGTAAGGCATATTAAATTTTGTTAACTCCAATATGATACGGTCTTCCAACATTATATTGCATAAATGGAAATGTATGCACATGACATCTTTTGTTGAAGGAATTAACATCCAATCTGAATTGAATTATGTCACCTGATTTAAAATCATTAGACATACAAAACTCATCCCATTCATATCCTAATTTGGTGCGATGGGGGTCATCATTGTTCATAACTATCATCTCTTTTGTATTTCCATTGTCACCACACAACGTCACATGCTCGTACTCATAGTCTCGCAACATTGTTGCAAAATCAACCTGTAGTTTCTATAATACAAAAACGATTATTGCTTTTCATAAAATAGCTATAATTATGTTTATATTACATGCATATATAATATAGAACAATACTCAACTAATTTTGGTAAGGATACATTGATGGGAGTCAAAGTAATGGAAATACAAATATTTGTTTGTCGTACAGATATCTACTGTGAAAACGCAGTAAGTCTTGCAATTTCAACACCTCCTTAAGCCCACTTATTCCAAAATTATTATTACCATAATAACCAATTCAACTACAACTTCACTTAGTAGACTATAATAGGCTTCCATGTTCGGCCAACCACTTATTATCATAGGAAGATCTGCATGTTTGTTATATACTAATTCATGGTGGACACCTTGGTTATTCAAAATCATCCAACTTTTTTTAATTTCTGCTTCATACTCTTTAACAAAGGAATCAAAAAATTTTGGGAATGGCTGCAATTTTAGTTCACATTAAACAGAATACAATATGACTTTATAAAACATTAACACCATACCAAAAAACCATTTTATTACGAAATCCTATACAACATACCTGTGTTGATAGTTTCGCAATCGCAAATGAACCAACTAAAGATGAGTGTTTTAGAATTCCAACTTTCTTCATCTCTGGGTTTTTAATACTATATTAACAAAGTTCTCACTTCTCACTTTTTTTCCTCCTTCCAACCTCATGCTCATTACTTGTCTAAGTGCAAATTATTTATATATAAACTTTCCACAACCCAACAACTTTCAATCACGTGCAAACAGTATGAGTGCTTTTTTGGTCCCCACTACCTTTCACTATTGTTAAATGGAGAATCTTTTTACTTTATTTTGCTTCACGTGTGAATAGATACTACTTAATAATTTGATTGTTTCATGTATTGGTAATGTTTTATTCTTTTTTTTTTGTACATTGTCTTTTTTGTTCCATCCATGCAATGGTTCCATCAACATTTGTTTTATTCAGATTCATTATGATACATTTTGTACTCCTCTTAAATTACCTAAACAATGCATCGTATTTTCTTAAACTCATGTGACAGCAACAATATTCCAACATTTTACGTTCATGCAGAATTCACACATAAATCTGTATGCTCTGCAAATTACTTTTATTATTTTACCTTATGCGCATATCAAAATACATTTTAAGCAAAATGTCTCCTTACGGGAACATAACCCTTTCCTCATGAAAAGTTTACGTAATAACCCAATGTCATTAAAATATACTACAAGGCTTCATATCAAATTTTACATTAACCACTTACTATTTCAATAATAAGATCTTAACATATCACAAAATATCTTATGTAAAGATCAATAATTTACAATACTTGCAACTAGCTCTTGTAACATAACCAACACAAACATTATCTAATGAGTTACACACATTACATCATTCATATTACAATAACAAAAGTGTAGCATCCATTAACAACACAACAAAATACATTTGATAACCATTCAACATCAAACCACTTCCTAATTCAATATCAAACAACCAACGTTGAATAAAGCAACATATGATCCACCACTTTCACCCGCGCCTGACGCTCACATAAATCCTTTTGTTACGGGGATAGCGAATTGAAAATCCAACCATGTATCCTCTTTTCAGGCATTTCTTCCTCGCATAATCGTACCAACCATGGCCAACAAACATTTCAACACAATATTTTCTCTATGAATTATGAAGTTCACAATCATATGTCTCCATCGTATTATAATTCGTCAACTTTATAGTACTAATTCCACTTAGTCTGCAAGTCTTAATAACACGTTGCGGGATTTGCTGTGAACATAAATCATGGGGTAGATATATGTATTAACATCTTTATATTTTTATGCATTTAATATGTTACACACATGACAACAATATATAGAAAATAATATTAAACTTACAAGGATGTTATTCTTTTCCAGATTTGGATCTTTAATCTCCTTCGTCTATACACAGTAACTTCTTTCCCAATTTTCAACATCTATTTCACTGAAACCATCTTCGTTGCTTTCTTCATCACATCTGAATTTAAAATACATCAAATAAAATACATTGAATATGTCTTTTACTATTCTAAAACAAGCCTTCAAACTTCCTAACAATTAAAATAATGCATGTCATTATTGAGCTATGTATTCATAATAACAACGTTCTACTAATTAACCAGGTTTAACGACTTACCTCTCATCATCTGAAGAGATGTCAATGTGAGAAGGTGCACCAACTTCCCAACTTTACCGCTTCATTTTATCACCATTCACTGTGTTGTCGTTGGTAGCTTTGTCTACTCCATCTACTGATATGTTCACTTCACCAACACTTTTTTCATTCTAGGTGTTACAAACATTCTCATACTCAAGATATAGGTCATCTAACCTCCTTGTTCTCCAAGCATGTTCGTTTTCAATGGCAGCAATCAAACTACAAGTTTATATGTATTACACGCACTCACTTTAACAACAAATATTATTATGTAAGATATTTTAAATGCAAAAGAAGCATGATGGTTTTCAACGATGGCAATCAAACTACAAGTTTAATTGTAGTACAAACACTCACTTTAACAACAAATATTATTATAGAAGAGATTCTAAAAGAAAAAGAAACATATCATACCTTCCCCTTACAGTTTCGGATGAAGAGTTGTCTTTGTGGGAAGCCATAGATAGCATGCAAATGAGAAGTGGACTATGCAAACAAAACAATAAAGAATTCCAAAGGAGTAAATTGCTTACACGAAAGAAATAAGTTATGTTAATTTTTTTTCCTATTTCTGACCTAACCAAACTATTCGCATTCCTCATGATGCCTCCCCTATATTACTAAGCCTTAGGTTACTATGTATGAATAATCATGACACCATTTGCTATCAACCTACCCTATATTAAACTATCA